ATTCTGGAGTAAGATTTTTCTCCCAGAACATCCTTGTTTTGACTGGATCACGTTTTGGTTTCTTGCCCTGCTTTCAATGATGTAAGGAAACTCCACTCAGACTCTTTTTTGCTTTCAGAAATCAAAGCCTGCTATTAAAATATTAATCAGTAAATATTTATCTCATTGTTGGAGGAGATAAAATTTTACTGCTGGGTTTTCCATTCTGCATCTTTGTTCTTAGTTACAGTTTTTCTAGTAATATTAGACATCAGTATACTCATCTGTTCATAAATGTGGTGCACCTTAGGGAAAATCACTATTTCACTCATTTGAAGTCATTACATTTTTATTCTTCTTTATGGAAACAAAATTATTTTCTAAGTTTAATTTGTGTAAAATAAATACAATTTTTGTACTGATTTTCATTTCCCTTATAAAATCAATGATAGGATTCCTTTAGAGAAACTTTTTCTATTGTAAAACAATTAGAGTCTGTAATTATAAGTTGGGAGAGGAAGAAAGAATGTAATTCATTAGTTCTGGGATTGCTTTGGAAAACCTTTCAAACTTTGTAGTACTTTCTTTATTCTAGGTTTTATCTTTGGCAATTATTTGCCAATTGGATTTACTTGTAATTATAAGATTGATTTTTTTTTTTTTTTTTTTTTTGCTTGAAAGTTCACTTTTTTGGGGGGACATGTATATTTACAATATCTGTTAAGACTAGTCTTTATTAACCTATTTTGCCTGTAGACTTAATTATACTTAGTTTAATTGTGTATAAAATGAAAGGATTTACTTAATAATAACAATTAAGTTACTATTATGAAGCTTTTGTTATAGTATTAGATATTAAGTAGAATCTCATTTTATCATCACAGAATCCTGTGTTCTTCTAGGAGTGATCTCCATGATTACACTTAAGCTTGGAGAAGTTCACTCCTCCAGAGTTTCACAGCTAATAAGTAGGAAATCTAGGTTTGCTTCCTGCTCATGCTCCTAATCTTTTATAGCTCTAAGGTTATATCCATTCATTCATTCATTCATTCATTCGCATACACTGAGGCCTGTCATGTAAGGTTGAAGGCTATATGAAGGCTTTTTAATTTTAAGTCTGATGGGAAATTATGGAAAGATTTCGAACAGGGAAATGATAGGAGTGCATTAGTAATTCTGGTTATTCCGGTTGCCTTGTGGAGCAAGAATGGAATAAAGAGACCTGTGTGGAGACTGTTGTAATAGTCCAGGTCAGAGTGGCCGGTGGCTTGGGGTGGGGTTAGTTGTAAAGGAAAAAATCAATGGCTGGTGTCTAGTAGGGGCAATAGATTGCAAAGATATTTAAAATGTGAGGTAGGGATACTCAGACAGTCAGAATGGGTGCTGACCTTGGGCCTGGAGCAGGGGCCTGGGTGAGCCGTGCTGGCTAATAGTTGTCCATTGTGGGGAGGTCTGTGGTCTGTCATCTCCAGAGAGACAGGGCAGCAGGGAAGGGAAGGCAGCACCCACTCACTGCAGCATTTCCGTGTTTGAACAGTCAGAAAGGTTGTATCCCTGCATACCTCAGGCCAGGATTTATTGCTGGATTGGGTTTGGGTGTGGGAGGAAGAGAGAACCTAAGAATAGAATCACAGTCTTTGCCCTGAGCAACTGGGCGAAGGAAGTGCCATTTACCGAGATGATAAACACCATTGAAGGAGCAGATTTGGGAGAGAAACGCCAAGATTTTAGTTTTGGGCGTGTTAAGTTTGAGATGATCATTAGACACCCAAGTGGAAATGTCATGAAAGTAGTTTGACTTCACGTCTGGAATTTAAGAGAGAGTGTGGGTCTGGAGATACAAAGTTCAGAGTGATCCGTGCATAATTCTGCATTCTTTCCCCACGAGATCTGTCTCTGCAGTCTGTCACTAATGCCTGAAGTTACAGCATTACAAATTCATTTATGCTGTTTGGATTATTAAGCTACACATGACCCGTGGAAAAGGTGGCATATTAAATCTTTATGAAAACCTACTGTGACGTGAATCATTTTGTGACATTCTTTTCGAGACAGCCCAGGCCTGCCTACCACGGGGAGATTCCCGGGCTGATGGGTGGCAGTGGTGCAGGGGCCATGCAGAGAGGTTGTCTCAGTAGGCTTCCCAGGACATGCTAATAAAAAGGGAATCCTGAGTCCGGCCTGTGTTGCTCAGTGGTTGAGCATCTACCTATGAACCTGGATGTCACAGTTGGATTCCCCATCAGGGCATATTGCCCAGCTTGCAGGCTGGATCTCCAGTAGGGGGCAGGCAGGAGGCAGCCAGTCAATGATTCTCTGTCATCATTGATATTTCTCTTTCTCTCTCTCTCTCTCTCTCTCTCTCTCTCTCTCTCTCTCTCTCTCTCTCTCTCTCTCTCTCTCTCTCTCTCCCCTTCTAGCTTCTTCTCTGAATAAATGAAAATACATGTTTTTTAAGAAAGGAAGTCTCAGATAGCTTTAAATGTAGATTTCAATGTTCGATTTTTAATGAATGGCGGAAGGCTTTGTGCTTAGAAAGTGTTCTTTATATTCATTTGTGTTTTAAATTAATATTCAGCTTGTAAATTTACATTTCAAATCATTTGTCATCGAATGCAGAAAGCTGCAAATTAAGACATTCAATCTTCCTTTAAACTTTTAAGTTCTGTTCATAAAACTTCCGTTCTATTTATAAGCTTATGAGAGTAAAAGACAATCTGTAGAGTTTGGCTGTAGACTATTTCTTCTAATAATCTCTGGAAGTTACATAAGTGTGGTAGCAACAAAGATAGAAGAAGAATATTGACTGCTGTTTTCTTTTGTGTAGAAAAATGAGTCATTTTAGATTACAGAGTAAGTTTTTAAAAATTTCTATACTGTTTTCTGTATTAAATCATATTTAGTTTAGTTTACATAAATTAGTTATTACATGTTAATTTCTAATAACTTAGACAACTTACCATTGGGAGGTTATAGTTCTGAAATTGGTTTCACTGGGCCAAAGTCAGGGTGTTGTCAGGGCCACCCTGACACCCTCCATCTCCTCCTCTCCCCCCCCTCGTTCTTGGAAAGAACCTGCACCCTGGACACCCACAGCTGCTAGAGCTGCAGTCTCCCAGCCTCCTTTCCACTTCCTTCCTCCCTCTTCAAAATGAGCCGCACAGAGTCCTGCATCAGCGTCCATAGCTTTTTCTTCTTCTGTGGTCACATCTCCCTCTCTTTGTAGGACACCTGTGTTTATGTAGATAATCCGGCAGAAACTGTCAAGCTCAGGATCCTTAATCACATCTGCAAAGCCCCTTTGCCAGATAAGGTAGCACCCCTAGGTTCCAGAGATTAGGACCTGGCTATCTTTGGGGGCCAGCACTTAGCTCCCCACAGCCTTGCTCTGAAATATTTTGCTGTAGTGAAGATTTCATAAAGATTACTGATTTCAATACATCCCTAACTCTCTTGAGAATTTTACATGCCGGTAATCCCTGTCACACTCTGTCAAGAAATATCCTGGTGTGGTATTTGACTGCATCTGACTATGCTTTCAGGTGGTAACAGTTTTTTAACTTTCTATTTAGAAAGGATTTCAAATATATAGAAAAATTTAAAGAATAACAATAACAAAGAATATTCAAATGTCCTTTAACCAGTTCACCTGCTATTAATATTTTACCCTATTTGCTTACTATTCCTGACTTACATGATTTAAAATAAACCATATTTCCTTTTTAAGAAAATAAAATACAACAGTGTGGTGCCTGCAAGGGGTAGTTGGGGGAGGGAGGTGGAGGAGGGTGTAGTGGGTATAAATGGTGATGGATGGAGACTTGACTAGGTGTGGTGAACACACAATACAGTGTTCAGATGATACATTCTAGAATTGTACATTGAAACCTATATAATTTTGTTAACCAGTGTCACCTCAATAAATCCAATGAAGAGGAAAATAAGAAAACAAAACTTATACCAGTACATTATATTAGTTATATATATTGTTCATCTGCTCTCATTTCTCTTCAGTGAAAGTAGTGGTTGGCAAATGCTTCTGTAAAGGGCCATATAGTAAATATTTTTTGGCTGCGTGGACTGTATGATCTCCATTGCAACTACTTAACCCTGCTGGTGTAGTGCAAAAGCAGCCATAGGCAGTTCTCCAATGAATGAGCATACTGGGTTCTAATTAAATTTTATCTAGAATGACAGGGTTTGCCTGGATTTTGCTCATGGTCTATTATTTGCCACCCCAAGTTAAATGAGTTCTAAGTGATTCAGAATTATATAATAGTTAAAATGGTGGTTTTTTTTGTTTTGTTTTTTTAATAAGTGTGTTCCTTTAATTTTTTCTATTGCCATAGAATGGGTCAGAGACTTCATTCAAAAATAACAAAATTTTAAATACCTGAATTAAAGGATTGTGCCATTATCAAAGAGATCTAGGGTGTACTTAGTTACAGTATTTAAGTTATCCTGGCCTAATTAAAATAAATTTGTTATACATAATATTTTTCCTGTTTGAGGATAATAAGCCCTTCCTACTGATAACAATTTTGGTTAATCTTAATGCTAAGAAAAAAATGTAATTTTTATTTTTATATTAGTTTAGTAGTTTATACTTTGTAAATGCTTTCATCTCCACTGTCTTTAAAAAAAACTAAATATTTATAATCACCCTTAGGGGATAGATTGTTATTTCTGTTTTATCCATGAAGATTTGATGATGGGAGAGGAAGCAGCCTTGCTCAGTTACTTGTGTAGTAAGTGATAGAACAAGGATTATTTCAGTGATTCTTTCAGATTTTGTGATATTTATTTGAACGTATGTAAGTCTGATTGAGTATGATTTAGCTCCCCATAGGCATTACATTTCATGTTAGAATTTCCCCCATAAGTTATAGTTTAGATGATTTATTGTGTACATTTGTTAATATGATGAACATTGAATTAACTAATTCTCTTCATCTGTATATCCTGGTTTTATAATCTAAGTTCTTTGTTTAACGCATTGTGTCGTTTGATTTTTTAAATAGGTCCTGATTGTTCTTTGAATGTTCCTTCCACCGAGTCCTACTGGGTTCTGCCCAATGTCAAACCCTTCAGTCCTTCCGTAGGCCGGGCTTCCCATAAAGCAGTCTTACATGGGAAGTTCATGTGGGTGATTGGTGGATACAGTTTTAACTACAGTTCTTACCAAATGGTCCTGAAGTAAGTATGTTTTCCAGATTTTCACAATCTATTATTTAAGCTGATTTATTATTATTTTTTTTGGTAAGAGGACTATCCTAAATGCCTATTTTATTGCTGTCAAAATTTATGAATATTTTTGTATCTATCTGTTACATGGAATTTGATTTCAGAATTTCTGAATTCAATATATCCATCATTAAATATTTGTCATTATACATATAGGTTTGTATAGATATTTCATTACCTCTCTACAGTGCTTTTAATAAATTCTGAGTAAGAAAATATTAATTAAAGAAAGGGGAGGCCGGGCCTGTATCAGACATTATGAATCCTGCCACATAATATTGCTTTCAGAATGAAGTGTAATTGCTTATATCAAAATACTTTCATTTTGACCTGTAAATTAATTTCCCTGAACTTTGTAACTTTGAAATGATTTTACAAGCTTTTGTTGGGAGAGAGTGCCAGTATTGTAAAACAGACCCTTCACTTGCTGATGTCTCCATGGAGATTATCCTTTGCGTGATTGGATGATGCTGAGGCCACATGGATGGCAGCTTACCTGATTTCTTTTCAGCTGGTGATTGTACTTTATGAAATTCAATACCAGAACAAAAGAGCAAAAAGAATAATAATTTGATTATCAATGTTGTTTTCGGGAGTGATACTCATAATATGTAACAACTGGTGCAACTTGGCATCAACCAATGAGAACTGACCCTGGACAATATATCATAATGGTCTGTATCCAATAGATTACCGGATGGAGCAGAGAAATATACCAGACACCCAGTAAAACTTGAATTTCAGATAAACAATGAATACTTTTTCAGTATAAGTAGACCCTTGCAATATTCTTTTTTGACTTTGTCCCAATAGTGTATGAGGTCTACCTATACTAAAAAATTATTTCTTGTTTATATAAAATTCAGATTTAATTGGGCATCCTGAATTGTATTTGGTAGCACTACCCACTAACAATATTAGTCCTATTAATATTGGGTATTTTAAAACTCTACTGCTCATAAGAGGAGATTGCTTTAAAACTAAGATTGAATATGACTCGAATTAAAGTATAAAATCAGGGGTCCTCAAACTTTTTAAAGTGGGGGCCAGATCACGGTCCCTCAGAGAGCTGGAGGGCCGGACTATATGAACTACTAATTCCTACTGTAACACCTCGGCTGCGCTCACTGCCCAAAAAACCTGGCGGGCCGGATCAGACTCCTCTGCGGGCCGCATGTGGCTCGCGGGCCGTAGTTTGAAGACACCTGAAAATAAATAGTTTCTGTAGGGAGAGAGAAAGTTTTAGGTACATATTTCAGTAGACAATTAGAATTCTATCACACAGTATAAAATGGGTAAAATATGGTAGAAAGAATTGAAAGAGAGCTGGTGGGATTAAAATGAATTGCTAAGATAGGAAAAGACCTGAAGAAATGAGTTTTAAATGTGGAAACTAAAAAGAAATTAACTATGATTAATGAAAATGAAAAGCCTGTGAAAATAAAGTAAAATGGTTTTTGCATTTTTAATGAGCTGTAAGAAAGAACAAAGAAGAATACAAAAGACCAATGTGTCCACGGAGCCCAAGATATTTACTGTCTGGCCCTTTGCGGTAACGTGGTGGAAAGCAGTGTGTTGGGTGCAGATGGTGGTAGATGTAGCTGAGGGAGTCTGTGAAAGTCATGTTCTGATTGATTCTACCGTGTTTCCCCGAAAATAAGACATCCTCCAAAAATAAGACCTACTTACAGGTTTCCTTCTGAGTGAAATATAAGGCATCCCCCCGAAAATAAGGCCCCCCCAGGCTAAACATGAGAGATTTGGTCCACTGATTCTGAAAGAAATGGAGTCACAAAAAATTCACCAGGAAATTCAGGAATTGGATTGTTATGATGATGTTCCAGAAGATGTTGACATGATTGTCATTGAATAAATGAGTCAATTCTTGATACTGTAGGATTCACAGTTTGTCTGGTTTGTGTTGACAACTACCGTACTACCATACCGTATACAGGTAATAAATTTCCTTTAGTTTCATTTAACAATTAATGTATACCGTATTCTTTTTCATGGAAAAATAAGACAGCCCCTGAAAATAAGACGTAGTGCATCTTTGGGAGCAAAAATCAATATAAGACACTGTCTTATTTTCGGGGAAACAGGGTATCCCCTCATTGGTTTCATTCACATGCATCTTCCAATGCCAGCGTGGGAAAGAAGTTAACCATAATGCTGAAAACAGTTGTTGGTAACCTTCCCTTTTTAAAAGTGTGTGAAGAGCTTGTTTGCTTTCCTTGATAAGTTGGAGAGAGAAAGAGAAAAGATAATTGATAATGAGCTTCTTAAACAAGGTCCTAGTCATTCTTGGGTGGTGCTGCCCTCTGTGTGTTTTGGCAGGTTGAAGAGATGTGAGGGTAGAGTATGATGGTGACCACTGAATCAGATTGCAAATTAGATAAGCATTTGAGAGTCACAGCTTGGAACTTCTATTTTCATATGTTTATTTTTAGAGCAGAAGAATAAAGATTAATTTTCATTGTTATCTAGTAACCCAGTAGTACCTTCTTTTTACTGAAGCCTCTATCTTACTAGATTCATGTCACACAATCTCAAATGATCAGTAAACAAGATACGTTTGTGTGTAGGCAATAGGCGTCATTGGTTAACTTACATAATGCTGTAAAAGAATAAAATTGTATACATAAAGCAAATTGCTGTTTTAAAAATGCAGAGAATTTTCATACATTTTCAAAGGAAAAAGCTGGCTTTTTTTTTTCTTCTATGAAATTTATTATTATTATTATTGTTATTATTTCATTGAATTTATTGGGGTTACATTGGTTAATAAAATTAATATAGGTTTCAAGTGTACAAACCTACGACACATCTGCACATTGCTTTGTGTGTTCATCATCCAAAGCCTAGCCTCCTCCCATCACCATTTATCATCTCCCTCTTCCACCTGCCTCCACCCCCTTCCCTCTGGTAATCACCATTAGTTAGCTGTCTGTCCTATGAGGGTTTTTTTGGTTTAATCCCTTCACCTATTTCACCACCTCACCAATTCCTCTCCCTTCTGAGAGCTGCCAGTCTCTTCTCTGTCTTATTTATTTTTTTTAATGCAGACCAGCTCACTATTGTTTAGGTTAAGCAATTGTCTGAAATTATTAAAGCAATTGAACCAATCCATTCTAGTAATAAGTAGTCAAGTTAATATATACTATACATTTAGGTAATTGAGTCCTAATTTAAAGTAGGTAGATCTTAAATGTCTTTATGAAAAATATCAAATATGGTACATAAAATTATGAGTTTGTTCTAATTGTTTTGAATTTAATGAATACTTATATACAGATGAAGAAAACATATGCAGATTAAAAAACCAAACAGGAATCTTAGATTGTGAAGTTATTTCTTTTCTTGGTTCCAGTTACAACTTAGAAAACAGTATATGGAATGTGGGAACTCTGTCCAGGGGCCCGCTCCAGAGGTATGGGCACTCTCTGGCTTTGTATCAGGTAAGGATCTTGCTTTTTAAATTAAAAAAAAGAACATTTTTGAGTTCACCTTTGTGGGAAAAATACTAAATCTCAGATTTATTTCAAACACTTAAAGAGAACAATAGATCATATAGATCACAATAACTTGAGATGTCACAGACTCATGCACTATTTTAGTAAAAAAAATAAAAAATAGATTTTTTTAGTATGATTCGCCATTGCATAAGAGAAGAAACAAAGATTGAATTTTTGTCCTTGGCTTGATTCCTAGCCATCAGGTCAGTCACTTTTTAATTGTGGTAAAATTAAAATTTACCTTTTTAACCAATTTTAATTAGAGTTCAGTGTTTAAGAAGGTACATTCAAATTGTTGTGCAACCATCACCACCATTATCTCCAGACTTTATTTTGTCTTAAGGCTGAAACCTTACACCCATTAAACAACAATTCCTCTCCTCCTCCAGACCATGATTACCATCATTCCACTTTCTGTCCGTGAATTGGACTCTCAGGGGACTTCACACACAGCATTTGTTCTTCAATGACTGGCTTATTTCACCTAGGATAATGTTCCCAAGGTTTATCCATATTGTAGCAGGTGTCAGAGTTTCATTCTTTTTTAAGCCTGAGTAACAATCCCTTGTATGTACATACCACATTTTGTTTATTTACCTGTCGATAAACTACTGGCTTGCCTTTACCTTTTTGGCTATCGTGAATAATGCCACTATGAACATAGGTGTACAAATATCTGGCTCCTGTCACTGCTTTCAATTTTTGGGATAGAAATTGCTGGATTATATGATAATTCTATTTTTATTTTTGGGGTCATTTCCATATGTTTTCTGCAGCTGCTGCACCATTTTATATTTCCACAAGCCCTGCATAAGGATTTCAGTTCCTCCATGTCCTTGTCTACACTTGTTAGTTTTTGAAACAGTTTAATTGAGATATAATTGACATACCATATAATCCACTGATTCTAAATGAGTGTAATTGAATGCTTTTCAGTGTATTCAGAGTTGTGCAACTATCTCTTGCAGATTTGTGCCGTATTGCAGACTTGTGCAGTCAAGTTTAGGACATTTTTATCACCTCACAAAGAAACCCTGTATCTTCTTCCTATCACCCCAAACCTCCTCGTCCTTAAGCAATCATGAATCTACTTCCTATCTGTGTTGACTTGTCTACTCTGGACATTTCATATAAATGAGATTGTGTACTCTGTGGCTTATGGCTTGCATATTATAGCATGTGTCAGTACTTCATTTTTATCTCCAAATGTGGACATATACTACATTTTGTTTATCATGTCATCGATATATGGACATTTGGGTTATTTTCACCTTTTAGCTCTTATGGAACAATGCTGCTGTGAACATTTATGTATACGGTTTTGTGAGGATTCATGCTTTCATTTCTCGAGTATATATTTAGTATTGGAATTGTGGATCCAATGGTAACTTTATATTTAGTTTTTGTATAAATTGCCATGGTTTTCCAAATTGGCTATACCATTTTACATTCCCTCCAGCCAGGTATGGAAATTCTAATTTCTACGGATCCTCACCAGCTCTCATTAGTATCTGTCTTTTTTATTATAGCCATCCTATTGAGTGAGAAGTGATATCTCATGTGTTTTATGCATTCCCTGTTGATGGATGATGTTGAGCATCATTTATGTTTACTGTCTGTCTGTATTTTCTTTGGAGAAATGTCTATTCAAGCCCTTTGCCCATTATTAAATTGGGTTATTTGTCTTTTTATTATTGAGACGTAAAGAGTTCTTTATGTATTTTAGATACAAGTCCCCTATGATTTGCAAATATTTTCTCCCATTCTGCGAGCTTTCACTGTCTTGATGATGTTGTTTGAAGCACAAAAGTTTTTTTTTTTTTAAATTTTGATGAAATCCAATTTATCTTTTCTCCCTTTTGTTGTTGGTGATTATGGTGTCAGACATAAAAATCTAAGATTGTGAAGATTTATTCCATGTTTTCTTTTAAGAGTTTTATGGTTTGGCTTTTACAGTTAGGACTTTGGTTAATTTTGAGTTAAATTTTGAATATGGAGTATAGTAAGGGTTTAAGTTCATTCTTTTGCCTGTCACTATTCAGAATTCTCTTAGCACCATTTTTTAAAGAGACTATTCTTTCTCCATGGACTGTCTGGGCACTCTTGTCAAATATCAGTTGGCCATATATGTTTGGTATCTCTGGACTCTCAGTTCCATTGATTTATATATCTGTCTTTATGCCCGTAGCACACTGTCTTGATTACTATTGCTTTGTAGTAAGTTTTTACATAGAGAAGTGTGAGCCCTCCAATCTTATTTAATTTTTTTCACTATTGTTTGGATATTCTGGGTGCCTTGTAATTTCATGTGAATTTTGGAATCAATTTGTCAATTTTTACAGAGAAGTCACTGATAAAAATTGCATTGAATCTGTTGTTCAGTTTGGAGAGTATCCTTTCTTAACAGTAAGTCTTTTGACCCATGAACATGGGATTCCTTTTCATTTATTTAGAAATTATAAGATTGCTTTCAACAAGGTTTTGTTGCTTCCAGAGCAAGTTTGGAATTTCTTTTGTCAGATTTATTCCCAAGTATTTTATTTTGTGATGTTTTTGTAAATGGATTCAGTGCCTTCTTTTATCCTCGGTGGGAATGCATAATATGTGTTCAGAGTGTATAAGTTTACTTTTATTTCTAGATTGTTGACTGCAAATGTATAGAAATATAATTGATTTTTGTATATTGACCTTGTATTCTGCAATGTGGTTGGACTTACTAGCTCGAATTGTGTGTTTTTTTGGAGGGAGGATTTCTTAGTATTGTCTATATATAAGACCATATCTTCTATGAATAACAACATTTTACTTCTTTTTCAATCTGGGTGTCTTAATTCAGTTTTTTTGGCCAATTTGCTCAGACTAACTCCTCAAGTACAGTGTGGAATATAAGTGGGGAAAGTGGGCATCTTTGTCTTTTCCTGACCTGAGTGGGAAAGTGTCTGCTCTTTCATCATTCAGTATAATATTAGCTGTGTGTTTTTCTTGGATGATCTTTATTAGGTTGAAGAAATTCCTTTCTATTCTTAGGTTGTTGAAATAGTAATGATTTGTATTATTTATGCATCATTCATTTTAGTCCTATGTGATTAAAGTTCTTTGTATAATTTATAAGTGCTATAAAGCATCTGCCCATGGCCATGGGAAATGGTAATAAAAATGTACTCCATGCAATACACAGATGTGGTGTACCTTTCTCTGAACTGCGCTTGATGAAAGCAGCGAATGATCCAGAACAGCACAGAGTAGTGTATATGGATGGCAACATTCCAGTGTGACAGCTAGCAACGCAACAACTAGGAAAATTAAAAATATGGTTAATTGCCTGGCTAGTGTAGCTCAGAGGTTGAGCATCGACCTATGACCCAGGAGGTCAGGGTTCAATTCCAGGTCAGGGCACAGGCCCGGGTTGTGGGCTTGATCCCTAGTGTGGCTTGTGGAGGAGGTAGCTGATCAGTGATTCTCTCTCATCATTGATATTTCTCTCTCTCTCTTCTTCTCCCCTCCTCTCTGAAAAAAAAAAAGGTATTATAATATAATTGTTTTAAATATAATATCTTTTTGAAAGCATGGATTTCCTTCTCTTCCTTGTGAGTAAAAGCATTATTTTTCATGAGTAATGTTCTCCCATTTGACTTTTTACAAATAAGAACTATGCCTTAAGCATGTTGTGAGTGATTGCTTAGCCTTCATTCTAATTTAATATATGTATATTGCTAAGAATAACGTTTTTTTTTTTTTAATTAATACTTGTTTTTTAATCTACAGGAAAACATCTTCATGTATGGAGGCAGAATTGAAACCAGCGAAGGCAATGTCACAGATGAGTTGTGGATTTTTAACATTCACAGTCAGTCCTGGAGCACAAAAACGCCCACTGTTCTCGGGCACGGGCAGCAGTACGCTGTGGAGGGGCACTCGGCACACATCATGGAGCTGGACAGCAGAGATGTTGTCATGATCATAATATTTGGATATTCTGCAATCTATGGTTATTCAAGCAGCGTACAGGAATACCATATCTGTGAGTTACTTTGAATGTGTAACTATAAACTCTTTCTTGATTGTACACATTTTTATCTTTAAAATCTCCATATGAATTTAGTCAAATGGTTATTTGAAATAAGAATTATAAGCCAAGAATGAATACTTAATATAATTTTTTTTTGGTTTTGTGTTAGATTTTGTCCTTTAATACTTAAGTTTATCTTCTTAGGCAAATGTGGGGAAATGTTTCCGAAGTTACATTTCCTAAGAACTGAGAATATTTTTAACTAAGTGAAATTCCAATAGGTGGTGCTACCTCTTTGGTTTTTACTTGTGGGCTAGGAGCTAAAACTAACCCAGGCTCTTCACTATGCATTTCATGATTTAAAAAAAATATATTTTTTTATTGACTTCAGAGAAGAAGGGAGGAGAGAGATAGGAACATCAGTAGTGAGACAGATTCATTGATCAGCCAGCTGCCTCTTGCATGCCCCACACAGGATTGAGCCTGCAACCTAGGCATGTGTGCTGATTGGGAATTGAACTGTGACCTCCTGGTTCATAGGTCGATGCTCAGTCATTGAGCCGTGCCGGCTGGGCAGGATTTTTTATTTTTTATGGTTCTGTTCCTAGGCTTACTGCAGTGTCTCTGTGTATGTATTAGTCTTTTAGAGGAAGCTCTTGAGAGTCTGTCGGCTTCTATGAAAGATTATTATCTGGTACATGAAGGTGTAGGGGGCAATCTACATATGATTACACGATACTCTTAAATAGTCTTCATTTTTCTGGCACTTTTTTTAATTTAAATTCTTTATGGAATTTTCAAATAGTTGTAAGTTTAAAAAAAGTTTGTCTACAAATATATGCACCTATAGTCACTACTTAGATTCAAGAACATACTCCATATCTGGCCTTGATCAGTATTTTGAACTCAAGGTTTTGCTTTTTGTGTGGAACTGTACAGGGTGATCTGTTTGTCCTCCATGTCGCCAGAACAGCTGGGCTGAAAGTGGGATATGCGTCCTCCTTCCTATAGTCGTTTAGACTCTATTCCCATGCCCTCTCCCTTTGAACCACTCAGCTTTGAATCCTGTCATTGGACTGTACCACCTGTTTCTTCGCCGTCTTATCTTCCGTTGCTCTTTAGGTCACTGTTTTATTCCTTGAAGGAAAAGCTTCTGGCTCACTGTCACTCCATCCCATCTACATTAACCAAATATTTCTATGATTTCAGTATCCACTGAAATAATTCTTCCAATACTTGGCTTCTCAATTTTTTTTATTTTTTTTTAATCTCTCTCCCAAAGATCTTGTTTTCCATCCCACTTGAATCAGTCTTGCCCATTGTCCTACCTGCAGTGAATTCCCCAGTTCCCATTTCAGATCTCTTACTCCAGTGCCTCCAGCTTATCCTGCTAGTCCCCACACTGGGAATTCTTCACGATCAAGCCCCAATACACAGGACACTATTTCTACGACCTTAATCCATCCTATTTTGTTTCAAATACATTTGACTTTATCAGTATTTTATACTAGGGATCAACAGTCTATTTTAGCGAGGGCAAGATAGTAAATATTTTAGTCTTTGTGGCCCATGCGGTCTTTGTCACAACTAATCAACTTCGCTGTGGGAGCAAGAAAGCCAACCCTGATTGTCCGTCAACAGATGGGCATGGCTTTGTTCCCGATTTTGCCCTCGTGTCTTAGTTTTTCTAGTTCTGCTCTAGAGAGAGTGTGTGCGCTACCGGGGCCTAGCAATCCTGGTCCAGGTTAATTTAACATTTTGGCATGTGGTTTACTTTGGACCTCGTATTTATGGTGAATTCTTGCCCCAAGATCTATGACCAAAAGTTCCCAGGAAAAATGAGATTTTTTTCTTTACATACAGCCAAGTGGAAATACACATTTTCTGTCTGCTTCTGAGCAGATTAAAAAATAACTCACTTTTTCATTGAGGATATAATCCTTCAGGGATCCTGACTTGGAATCGAAGTTCTCTGATCCAGTACCCACACGGGCTTACCTTCAGTCCTGGCCATTAAAACCAAATCCCTAGGCCGCCTGAATGGTACATACCTTCCTTATTCTGCTTTTCCACTGAATACGGTTTCTGGCCCTCAGAATATATTTTCCTCTTTTTATACTAATCTTTTCTGCAGGAGAGTCTCATTTGGCCAGAGATATGGTCATGGCAGTTATGCTTTCGAGGGATGGCTAGGAAGGCACAGCAGATTAATTCTAATTTTCAATGAATGGTAAATATTGATAGTTTGTTTACTAATAAATTCACTGGCTGGTAGGTTTTGTTTTCCTTTTATTCTTTAAAAAATATTTTTTATTGATTTCAGAGAAGAAGGGAGAGATAGAAACATGAATAATGAGAGACTCATTGGTCTGTTACCTCTTGCACGCCCCCTACTGGAGGTGAGCTTGCAACCCAGGCATGTGCCCTTGACCAGAATTGAACCCGGGACACTTCAGTCCCCAGGCCAACGCTCCATATCCACTGAACCAAACTGGATAGGGCTAGGTTTTTGTTTTCATTTGGAATAATTTGATTACAGAACCTCAATTGTAGTTTTGGTAAATTTTCAACAACTTCTATAGAGTTTTTTTTTTTTTTTTTTTTGGCTTATTCTATAATCAAAATACTATTTTAAAATAAATTTATCAACAGGGTATTTTTGGTTTGATTTTTTTTGGTCTTATTAATGGCCATTACTTGTCAGGCACACTTACGAATGTAGTCTAAGATGGAAATGGGGAGAGTACACGATTTATTTATGAGTTTAATAAGAATAATAGGAGAATTAAAGGTGGAATTTAAATTCTGTGATTTAAGTACAAAGTAAAAGTCATCAATTTTTCTACAAAATTATATTTTAATAAAATGAACTTATGTTATTTACACTTAATGCAGTTTGAATTCACTGCTTATTGTTGAAAGTATGTGGTGTCAAAATAATCCATAATTACTTGCACTTTGAAAAGTACTTGCATAGAAAAGTAAATAGGATGATGAAAGCTGCCAGAATAATTAAGTTGTATATACAGCAGACAAGTGCTACTTCAGGGAATGATACTATATTAAGTAGGGCTGTTGTGAACATAAATAATAGGATAATTTATCATTTTAGTTATAAGTAAAGACTTATCTCTTCAGAGACAGTTTAAAATATACACCCCCTCCCCCTCCCCTCCCGTTTATAGTGGGATTACTATTCTACCATATAAGTTAAAGCTGTTTTTTTCTGACTGATTTTAATGGCTTCAACTACCCAAATGTAGGTTGGATTTGCTTTGAGAATCCTTACATGTTTAAAGCCTCTTGAAAACTGAGAATGCTTTGTTTAATTAAAGAAGGGACTCTTTTCCAGCACTATGGTGAAGATAACGGGAAAGAAAACTGAAATTATAATAGAGCAATTCATGACAACAGAGCATTTTACTAGGTAAAATTTTTCCCTGAACTATACTATAAGGACATTGATCTCACCATTATGTAGAGATTTTTAAAAGAGACAAAAATTTTCTACTTATCACATTTCAAAATGACCACTTACTAAACTTTGAGTAACAATGAAAATAACTGTTCAGTGTTTCTGGTTCAGTGCTTAGTGCCCTGAACCTTCTTTGAGATTTTTGTAATAATGTGGTTTAAAACCAAGGAACCATCTAGTTAGCTTCAGTTATCTTAGTTTGAGTCTTATCCATTAACATCATAACAACATTTAAGACACTAGAGAATATTTTTAGCTGTTGAGTTGAAAGTTTATGCGCATTATCATTGCTGGTTTGAGTTTTAGAGGATCTTTTGAGCTCAGGAGTACCTCCATATATTGTAGCTACAGGATCACCCTCTGGTTCCACTTGGTTCCAGACATAAGCAGTAATGACATCAGCAAGTAATGCATCAGGTCTTATTCCTTGCCTTTGCGGAACTTATTTCTAGTAGGGTGATACAGCCAATAAATAGTAAATATGATACAGATGTGCACGCTGTATAGAAGATAATAAATTTTATAAAAATAGAGCAAAGCAGAGGGGATTGAGAATACTGAGGTGGCTGGGAAAGCCAGCAGGGTAAGCCTCAATGAGAAGATGAATTTTGATAAAAGAACTGCAGGAAGTGGAGAAGTTTGTTATGTAGATAATCTGTGGGGCGGGGAGTGTTTCCTAGAAGCAGGAACAGCTAGTGTAAAGACAAGAACATTGAGAGCATGTTCAGGGCACAGGAGTTTGGAGAGAGATTAAAAATTAACAGATGAGGACAGAGAAGTAATAAGGACCCAAATCATAGGGTTTTTGCACAGCCTTTGTTTCTTACTCTGAGGAAATGGAGAGATGTGGCAAGCTTTTGGGCAGAGCAACACATAATTTTTATTTATTTATTTTTATTATTATTTTTTAATATATTTTATTGATTTTGTACAGAGAGGAAGGGAGAGAGATAGAGAGTTAGAATCATCGATGAGAGAGAGTCATCGATCAGCTGCTTCTTGCACACCCCCTACTGGGGATATGCCCGCAACCAAGGTACATGCCCTTGACCGGAATCGAACCCGGGACCTTCCAGTCCCCAAGCTGACGCTCCATCCATTGAGCCAAACTGGTTTCGGCAACACATAATTTTTAAATGAATCCTTCTGGCTGGGTTGAAAATAACCTCTGCGGAGGAAAGAACAGAAGTACAGTCCAGTCAGATTACTGTTGGCCTGGGCAGTGGTGATGGGCTTAGACCAGGGTGGTAGTATCGGAGTGAGGAGAATCAGTCCATCTGTTTTAGATGTTTTTAGAGTGAAATGAATAGTATTTGCCGAGGGTTTGGATGTACAGTCTGAGATAAAAGAGAGGAGTCAAGGATGATTCCAGGGTTATTGGCCTGAGCAACTAGAAAGATGTCATTGCCATCGACTGACATGTGGAAGATCCTGAGGCAGGTTTGAGGCAAAGGATGATTCAAGGTCAGGATTTCAGCTTGGATATTTATATGTGTGATATCCATTAGACATTACAGTGAAAATGTCAAGTAGATGT